ACGAAAAACAGGTCAGCTTGACCGCCGGCGTGAGCTCCAACACCAGCTGCCCCGGCTTTCTGCCCGCTATCCCGCGCCTCGGGTTCCCTGGCATGTGCCTGGCTGATGCGGGCCAAGGGCTCCGCGGGACCGACTTTGTCAGTTCCTGGCCGAGCGGCATCCATGTCGGCGCCAGCTGGAACAAGGCGCTCGCTCGTCAGCGGGCAGCGGGTATTGCAGGCGAGTTCAAGACCAAGGGAGTGAATGTGCTGCTGGGCCCTGCCATCGGGCCCGCAGGTCGGGTTGCGCTGGGCGGGAGGAACTGGGAAGGTATAGTGTTGGCCCTTTCTTGCCTGGCATTCAGATCCACCACGGGTTGCTGACAGGAACAGGCTTCTCGACCGACCCCTATCTGTCGGGCGCATTGGTATACGAGACAGTCGCGGCGATACAAGCTGCCGGCGTCATCACCAGCACCAAGGTGCGCTGCCCTCCCTGGACACTCTGAGCGCCCGAATCTCGCTGACCATCTGCAGCACTACATCGCCAACGAGCAAGAGACGCACCGGAACCCTTTCGGCGAGATCCAGTCCGTGTCGTCAAATGTGGATGACAGGACCATGCACGAGTTCTACCTGTGGTAAGACTGGCGCTCCACGTCTCCTCTCTCTCCCTTTCCTGACATCCCAGGCCTTTCCAAGATGCCGTCCACGCAGGCACGGGCAACATCATGTGCTCGTACCAGCGACTCAACAACTCGTACGGCTGCGCGAACAGCAAATCGCTCAACGGCCTCCTCAAGACCGAGCTGGGCTTTCAGGGCTGGGTTGTCAGCGACTGGGGAGCGCTCCACGCAGGGATCGACGCGGCCCTGGCGGGCTTGGACGTGGCCATGCCCAACGGCGCTGGTTTCTGGGGATCCTACCTCGTGGACGCTGTCAACAATGGCTCGCTTCCCGAGAGCCGAATTGACGACATGGTGATCAGGTAGGGCTCCCCTGAAGGCCTTCATGAACCCTCCCGCCGACTAACGGCACGACAGGACCCTCGCGACATGGTACCAGGTAGGCCAGGACGAAGACTTCCCCCAGCCCGGCGTAGGCATGGCCGCGGACCTGACCAAGCCCCACCCCATCGTCGACGCGCGCAACTCGTCCTTCCGCCCCACCCTCCTCGACGGCGCCATCGAAGGCCACGTCCTGGTAAAGAACGAGCGCAACACCCTCCCGCTTAAAGCCCCCAAACTGCTCTCCCTCTTCGGCTACTCGGCCAAGAACCCAGACCGCAACCACCCGACCGCCGGCCTCTCCCCCTGGCTCTGGGGCCTCGAGTCCTCCAACTTCTCCGAGTTCACGACCGCCTTTTACGGCTACTCCCCCAACAACTGGTCCCCGTCCCGCACCGCCGTCGCCCTCAACGGCACCCTCTACTCGGGCGGCGGCTCCGGCGCCACCTCGCAGTCGACCGTGCTCGCCCCCTTCGACGCCCTGCTACACCGCGCCGCCGACGACGGCACGGCCCTCCTCTGGGACTTTGTCTCGCCTACTCCCGCCGTCCACCCCATGTCCGACGCCTGCCTCGTCTTCGGCAACGCCTTCGCCGCCGAGGGCGCCGACCGCCCGGCGCTCGACGACGACTACACCGACGCCCTGGTCCGGCACGTCGCCGACCGCTGCGCCCGCACCGTCGTCGTGCTGCACAACGCCGGCGCGAGGCTCGTCGAGGGGTTCGTCGACCACCCCAACGTCACGGCCCTGCTCTTTGCGCACCTGCCCGGCGAGATGTCGGGCCGCGCCACGGTGGACCTGCTGTACGGCGGGGTCAGTCCGTCGGGGAAGCTGCCGTACACGGTGGCGAGGGACAAGGGGGACTATGCCGTGCTGGAACCGGATCGGGTGGAGGAGCAAGGGGGGGAAGGGTTCGGGAGATTTCCGCAGAGCGATTTTGACGAGGGCGTGTTTTTGGATTATCGCCATTTTGATCGGGCGGGGATCGAGCCGAGGTATGAGTTTGGGTTTGGGCTGAGCTATACCGAGTTTGGGTATGCGAACCTGGTGGTGAGCAAGGTTGACGGCGGGCGGTTTGGGGAATTTCCTGCCGGGGAGGTGGTGCAGGGCGGTCAGGAGGATCTGTGGGATGTCCTGGTCGAGGTCGCTGCCGACGTGACGAATGCCGGCGGCGTGGACGGCGCTGAGGTCGCGCAGCTGTACGTGGGCATCCCGGCTGAGGGCTCGCCGCTGCGGCAGCTCCGGGGGTTCGAGAAGCCCTTTCTGAACGCCTCGGCCACAGAGACGGTCAGGTTTGGGCTGACGAGGCGAGACCTGAGCGTCTGGGATGTCGTGGCGCAGAAGTGGCGCTTGGTAAGGGGCGAGTATACGGTCGAGGTGGGAGGGAGCAGTCGGAATCTGCCCTTGGTTGGGAAGGTTACGATTTGATGCATGTAGCGCTGGGGTTCGGCGTTGGTTTCTTCCTGTTGGTTTGCTTGGGTTTCAGGATATGATGGATCATGATGTGATGGGTTATGAAGGATATGTTGTATTATTGGTAACTACGTCGAAGGAAGAGAGCGTTGAGAAGACGGCTGGCCATAATCCACCGTTCCAGTGCCTTGATTACCCCCTCTCGTCACACCTCTCTGCTTCCCAGCCTGAAGCACGAGAAATCGTCTTCTCCAGCTGGTAAAAGCCCTGAATCTGAGTCCCATCCGTTTTCACCGTGTACCAGATTGGGATGTTGGCTTACTAGTAGTCTGTACAGTTCATCGATGCGTGACTGGTCCTGCTGCAAAACCTTAGGCCAGCTGGCACCGCCGCACCAATGGTCTCAGATACCAACCTTGAACATGAAAGCTTCTCCGTCGCGGCGGAACTGAACTGTGTACCTTACCTTGGGGTTTCGATCATTGTATACTAGAGAGCCCACGGGAAATTGAATGGTCCCCTGCAACTCTCTCCCTGGCTCCCGCTCAGCGTGAGACTCTCGGCGTTACCCTCCTCTGCTCAAAAATTATCTGCCCACCACCACAAAAATTTGAAGTTCCTTCAACATCAACACAACCACCACACCGGTTGTGGTTTTCACGTCAGTTCACCACACATATCTGCATTTGCAATGCATCCATCTGCTAATATTATTATTATTCTTATTCCTACACCGCTGTGCCCTGGGGGCGTGCCGGACCTTCAACTATTTACTATACAGGAAAACCGCACCCTTGCAGGTCGGATGATAAACCCATATCGAAAAATCAAGGAAACGATCAGTGACTGAGCCTGCAAATACAAAAAGAGAAGGCCT